GTTTCTTGTTTGGTTTATTTGGTCTAAAAAAATTGAATACAGTATTCTCTGCATTATGAGAAGCATTAATCAAACAGAAAATAATTCACAGTCTAGCATGCTTAGAAGTAGGCATAACTTGTTCTGAAACCTAGAAAAACCAAGCAAAATATCCCTTAAACCATACAAAATGAAAGCAAATAATAGCATCTAGCAAGAGAACTCGTAAATGTAGAGTATGCATAGAATAAGACTTATCAAACCTGAAATTCAGAAATCCAAAATAAAACCCCCACAAACCATCACAAACATGTGGGTTCACCGAGACTAACAAAAAATAAAAAATAGTGAAGACTTAATTGATTATAGTAAAGATAAACTAAACAAAATAAATTAGAAACCAAAATATTGCTCACATAAACCAAACAAAATAAATTTACAGTTTCTTCTCTAACATATTGCTACTCCATTTTTTATTTAACGAAATAAAATATTGCTCATATAAACCAAACAAGAAACATAATAAAAAATGATAACAAAAAAAACAACAATATAGAGCCACATGACAACCAAAAAACATAATCAAAAATAAAAAAATATCAGGAAAATCCTGATTTAAGTTCAAAAAATAAAAACCTCATTCACTATCATAGATCGAGCCTTAAGAACTTCAAATCATTACTTGATTTCCTAATAAAAAATAAAAAACAAGTGTAATGGGATAAATATGGAAATGCAGCAAATGAAGTACAACACATAAAAAAAATACACCAGTTAGAGATATATCAGAAAAGATAAACCTGGTTCAAATATGTTTGCATTGATAAATTTTTTAAGACAGGAAAATGTGTTGTGATAAAAAATGGATGATTGAGAAAGGAAAAGTGTCACACCAAAAGCCCCCAAATATGGCGGAAAATGGTAAAGAGGGTTTCTACATAAAAACTCATTGTAATGGCCGCAAAAGGCAGAGAGGGTTGTACATAAAAAGCACTGTAATGGCCGAAAATGGCAGAGAGGGTTTGTACATAAAAATTATGTTGAAACAAAAATGGCAGAATTTTTACCTCAAAAAAAACAAGAGATAGAGAACTAACCAAGGGAGAGAGAACAAACTAAAGAGAAAAAACCAGGGGAGAGAGAAGAAACCAGAGAGAGAAAAAACCAATGGGGAGAGAAATAATCAGAGAGAGTGACAATCAAGGGAGATTAAAAAAACCAGAGAGAGCGAAAAAAGATGAGAAAGAAAAGCCATAGTGAGAAAAATCAAGGCTTCTGAGATGTACCTTGTTGTGATAAGGCTTTGGCTGAAGGCTCATCGGCGAAGAGGAAGCGGCGATGATGGTATCTGGTCTCTCGTCTCTGTGGTTTTTGTCTCTGCGGCTATCGTTTCATCGGTGTGCAGTTCTTCACCACGAGGCTGCAAGCCTTTTTCAACATGACAAAGTTCCCTTTTTCATCGGGACAAAGTTCCCTTTTTTCATCGGATAAAGTTCCTTTTTTAAGTTCTGTGGAAAAACAAAGAACTTTTTCTAAGCCTAAAGAGGGAACTTCTACAGTATTAAGAAGTTCTCATAATAAACTTACAATTTTTTATGAAACATAAAACTTCTACACTAAGAGGTAAGTTCCATCTTCCTGTAAGCAACTTCCTGTTCTCAAACACGCCCTTAGATATATCAGCTACCTGATTTGCCCAAGCAGGTTTACCAAACTTATCCCAACATTTTACCGATGTGATTATTACATACATAGTGAGTGCATTTCTTGTTACCACTGCCTCTATACCCCCTTGAATGACAACCGCGTTCTGTATTACCACCACTATGACCTCTGCTTTCATTACCTCTACCCACCGATATGGTTACGGCCTACCCATCACTAACACTAGAGGTAGATGAAAGTGTAGAGAGGGCAATCTGTTGAAGACAGAAGTATACATTATTGAGAGAGGAAAGTTTATTAGTAGCTAAAATCTGTCCATAAAGGGACTGATATTCAGGATTTAGGCCAGACAAGAACTTTGTTACTCGAAATTCTTCTCATTGCTGCTTTAGTAATTCCATATCATTTCATAAGGCCAATACATATTCAACTCTTCACACAAACCAAGGAGAGAATTGTAGTATTCACTAAGACTTTTGTCACCCTCCTATAAAAGAAGGATGTTCTCATAAAGGCAATAAACTCATGAAATATTCTTACCATTAGAATACATCTCATGTATAGGCCACCACGCTTCATCGGTAGTATCAAGAAACATCACAATAGTACTCATTTGGGGTTCCATACTATTTCGTAAGCAGATCATGATTTGACAATTCTCCCTAAGCCGTTGTTCATGTCTAGTGTTTGATTCTTTTGCCCCATCTTTTGTCAAGAACTCAATTTACCCTTGACACCAAGAAACTCTTTTACAAACATGAGCCAATAGGCGATAATTGGACCCATTCAATTTCACGAAAGTAATTGGCATTCCAATCCTGTCATTAATGCTAGAAATTCTAGGCATACTTTTTGATGCAAATAAAATTGGAGTTTATTTATTTATTTTATTTTTAATTAGGGATAGGAAGAGATAAGTTAAGAGAGCCTGAGTTGGGTGCGTGATTTGTTTTGGGATGATCTCTCTTTTTAGTTTAGGGAATAACTTATAGATAAGGTAAAGATCTTTTGGTTTAGGAAATAATAAGTGGAAGTTATCTTTTACTCTTAGAAAGGCTAATGTGGAAGTTAGAAAGAGAGAAAATAGGGATGGTGCATGAGAGAGAGAAAAAGTGAGAGGAAAAATAGGGAGGAGTAGATTTTTTTTCTTCTAAATTTTATTTTAAGGGTGATGGCCTTCATTGTAAAGCAAAGAATGAGACTTGAGTAGAGTTGATCTTGTGAAAAGATCTTTTTTGGGGTGGATTCCCTTGCAGACCCTGAGAGATGGTATATTCTCTTGTTGGGGGTGGATTCCCTTGCAGACCTGAGAGATAGTATAATCTCTCACCTTTTGTTTTATTTTTTATTATAATTATTTTTTCACTCTGCATCATTTGGTATCATAGCAACCACTGTGACCCAGGTTCAAATCCTAGGAAAGGGCTACCTGAATAAAATCAAGGGCGAGCCGCCATAGAGTGAGAGCCACCGAGGACGTCGATCCTAGGAAGGGCTACCTTTGGAAAGGGCTACTTGAATAGAGTGAGAGCCGCCATAGAGTGAGAGCCACCATAGAGTGAGAACTGCCGAGTACGTCGATTGCGGAACGTTGTGGTATGTAATGATCCTAGGTGGTTTAAGGGCCTAAGTTTCTGCGTTTTCATCACCCAAGGGTTTTGGGGGCTATTGGTTAGGTACCTAAAATATTTGAGTTCTATAAGCTCGAGGTCAAGCTTTTCCCAACCTAGGGAGAATGATGCAAATAAAATTGGAGTTTATTTATCTTTTTATTTTTAATTAGGGATAGGAGATATAAGTTAAGAGAGTTTGAGTTTGGTGCATGATTTGTTTTGGGAAGGTCTATTTTTTTGGTGTAGGGAATAACATATAAGATAAGGTAAAGATCTTTGGGTTTAGGAAATAATAAGTGGTAGTTATCTTTTACTCTTAGAAAGGCTAATGTGGAAGTTAGAAAGAGAGAAAATAGGGATGGTGCGTGAAAGAAAAAAAGTGAGAGGGAAAATAGAGAGGAGTAGATTTTTTTCTTCCAAATTTTATTTAAAGGGAGATGGCCCTTCATTGTAAAGCAGGGAATTAGAATTGAGTAGAGTTGATCTTGTGATAAGATTGTTTTTGGGGTGGATTCTCTTGCAGACCTTGAGAGAGGGTATGTTCTCTCGTTAGGGGTGGTTTCCTTGCAAACCCTGAGAGAGGGTGTAATCTCTCACCCTTTGTTTTATTTTTTATTATAATTATTTTTTCTCCTAGTGTCACTTTTGCTAGCTATGAGGGTAATGATTCACACAAAACAAGAAGCAATGCACAATACTATAGCAGATTAAGTACTCATTGACGCCCTTAATGACTCAATTGAATTTCATAAACCACAAAAGACAGCACAATCAGCAGGTAGAAGGAGAAATACTTATCATTCAGATGTATACAAACATATATCTTCACATTAGAACTATTGCAGTGGTTTCCACAGGCTTCCTACAAGATCAACCACACACTTTGATAGATTTCTGTTAGTATTCCTCATGATTTTTCATCTGTTGAGGAGGAAACATTAGCTGCACGGATTTTCACACCAAACACAGACAGCTATATTGGTTCTCTACACAAAAGGGAAGAAATATGAGGTGCTCCTTGGTGAAATTATCACAGAGTTGAATTAGGGTTACCAAAGAGAGAAGAGGGAGAATGTGAGAGAGATGGTGAGCAGATAATAGAGGAGGCCGGAGGCAGTCACCTTAGGGTTGGATAACCTCCGTGTTCGCAATCTTATTTATAACTATAACTAATATAGAAATTGCACTAATGCCCTTAAGTATGTAAAAAAGGAAGGGAATGCCATATTGGCGCGCAAACAAGACACACTACCAAAAGAGATACTATGAAAGTCAATGCAGTCATCACTTGATTTGACGAAGTCTTGAATGATTTGGTTGAATATTATAGGGTCTTCAACTGTTTCTTTTTGTGAAATAGCAAAAAATGAATGAATCGTTTGCTTCTTATAGTCTGATATTGTTTTCTTTTTCGTTCAAAAGTAGAAACCAAAATGGAGTTTTCTGTTTTCTTGTGGGGCTGTGGGGCCCAAGTAGAGATAATGGATGAATGATTATTCTTTGCTCCACTGCTTCATGTTTCCACTTTGTCATGCATTGGCCTTGCTAAGACATTTCATAATTTGTTCACTTCAGTTGCTATTCTCAATTTTTGTCTTCTTATTTTTATCTTTCATTTGTAGTTCATTTAGAAGTTAAAACTTCGATTGTATTTGGGAAAGTTGGAGATTAGAATTTGTATACCTTCTTGTTTTTCATTATTTAGAAATTAAATATCTGAAAATGGCCTTATATACTTTACAGCTCATCAAAAGCCTTACGAACAAAATTTGTTCGGTATTGTTCAGGGGGGATTAGATCCAGTTCTGAGGTAACAATTGCTTCATGCCATAATTTCCACAAACATTTTTAGAAACAACATTACTTAGTATTTTTTTGAGAATGTAAAGCAACATTGCATGTTAGAGTTAGACAAATCAAAATGATAGGAAATGGTAACCATAACTCTTTCATATTCTTACAGATAGTGGTATCCTTTTTGTTATACAGGGATATATGTGTAAAAGGCTTGGTTGACCGCAACTTACCTGGGTAAGCAGTTTATTTATTAGTCTGCTCTTGAGTGATATGCTTATCATTTGAATATGATTAAATGACCTAGTTTATACTTCAACAATCATTGCTGTTAAATGATTGATACATGATCTCCATGGATGATAGTTTAGTTTCCTTGGACTCTCTATTTTGTCAGTGGTGTTGTACTAGCTATCTTATATACCTGGCTGAAGAAATCCTAAACCAACTGGAAGATAGTCACTTGTCAATATAAATATTTGTTACCTGAACCTAATATTTGTTACTTAAACCTGAAAAGAATTTTGGATGCAAGTAAAATGTGAGCACGCTTAGCATTAGATAAAGAAAATTTTACAGAACATTGTAAAAGGTGTGCATTTTCTTAGTTTAACTAACTACAAGATAATTAATTGTCAAAGTAATTATTTGCTAACCTTGAAAATTTTCTGGATGCAATGAAAGTGTGAGGACGCTTACCACTTGATAAAGGAAATTTTACAGGGTGTGCATTTTCTTATTTTTTTTGTGTTTTCCTCTAGTTTGTAGTGCTGTTGGTCATAATATTGAAACCATGGGCATTTTGCAAAGCTGGGAGTCAATATGAAATTCTCATTGGTTATTTCAATGGCAATTGCCTAGCCAAATCAACCTGCAGACTCAATTGGCATGTGACCTACCCATAACATGAGTGAGTCGGTTGGCCTACCTATTATCATAGCCTGGAAACCACAACTTTGCTTCCAGAAATGGCCATGTTCCCTCCCTGTTTGTGCCCCCTAGAGGAATGAAGAAATAAATGTTTGAGTTATAAAACAAGAAAAAAACAGAAGTTTGAATATTTTATTTCATCAAATATTTCTTGTCTGAAACAAAAATCTTGACAAAACTTGCTTGAAAAGATTTCTTCATTTAGTTGAGCCTCTTGAAATAGGAAAGGAAATAAAATATACACTTATGAATGGTGAAAAATCATGCAGGGTTGCTTTCAATTCTTTTGCAGGTTGGGGTTTGGACCCAGGGATGACTTGACACTGGTAGGGTTTGGGTCGATCCAGCCCAATATATGTATTTATAATATTATAAATATTCTATATATTATATATAATATAATATTTAATAATCTTTATGAACTACAATGTCTAATATTTTGTTTATCTTTTGACCGGGACCCGACTCTACCTAGAGGTCCTATTGACTTGGACTCTAGGTCTACCTGCACCGATTGGATTGGGTCTGGGTCGACCTGCAGCCCATCTAGTTTACAGCCCCATGCTTCCTACATTGTCCACTTATTTTAGGAAAATGATAAAAATAACAAAAAGTATTGTCCTCCTTTTCTTCTGTGTGGTTAGTTGACAGCTCGTGTGTTCAAATTGGATAGCTTGGGTTTTAGTTTACCAAACATATTTCTTAATTTGTCATCAACATTTGTCTTCTTGAATTTGGTGTTATTTCTGGAATTGTATTGTATACAATCATGTTCATACACATACCAACTATTGTCATGTGGAATAATCATATGCACATAGGAACAAATGCATAGTGGGTGCTCATATGTTAATTTTGAAAAGGAATTCATTAAATTGATTGTTATTATCAGTTATTGACGAACAACAAGATCCCACAAGAACCGAGCTCTAATACCACTTTGATGTAGGGAAATTTGAAGGAAACAGTGAAATCACTAAGGAACAAACCAAACACAAGCACAAGTCAAAGAAACCTATGGTTTCTTCTTCATACCCAAGCTAGGGCTCCCAAATGCCTAAGGTTTTCTTTCTCTTTCAATTTCTAAAGTTCATGTGGAATGACCCTCTCAAGGTCGCACACATCTTTTATATATTATAATTCAATGTTCAAAGACATCAATGTTTATTTAATAATTAAAATGACCCAAAAAATCCTAATTTAAAAACAAAATTTGTAATAACAAATTCACCCTTGTGAATACTAACCCATTAATAGTACCTGTGAATAGTACCTATGAATAGTAATTAGTGAATAGTAAATAAAAAATATAATGAAAAACCCTAGAATCCCTAAAAACTTAAAATCCCTAAAAATAAATCTTAAAATTAAAATCAAAATATATATTTTTTGAAATGGTTAGAGAGAACCCGCTGTCAAATTTTGAAGTAGGCTAAGATGAATTCTGCATCAAAACCACATTCTTCAATCTTCATCTTTGTTGGCTCAAATATTTCCTTGTAAGAAGGACTATCTAAGAAATGATTCCTGATATGTATAGTAAGGAATTGATAGAAACTTATCAAATTTAGCTATCCCTGAACTTGCATTGAAAATGTGTAGGAAACTTTAAACTCAATTTTTTGGCCTTTAGAGGCTTTCTTGACATCTATTTCATTACTCTTTTAAACTAGGGTCACAATTTGCAGATTATGAGTCGACCACACTTCCTCTCCACTATTTTGATTTCAATTCCCTAATTATCTTGAATACTCCACCTCTTCGATATCCTTGAGATTTTCAAAAGCCATGATTTTGTTCAGCCTCCTTGTTGCCTTCTCTCCATATTCTTCACCCTCTTCCAAAATCTCTTTATCCTCATGTCAATGCATATCATAGATCGGATCCCCTGAATAGTCTTGTTGTTCATCGGAGTATGTATCGAAGATTGGTGGTGACTCCCAATTTACAACTTGCTTATCTTCTGTACGACCTATGCCAAAATCAACCTTGTTCTCCTTCAAATCGTGTAGATCAACTTTAATGTTGAGATCGCATAACGTACTCTCTTGAACACGAGGCTCTTGGTGCGGTGCACATGCATAGAATGGGTTCTCGAAGAGAGCTCCCAACTCACTATCGTCATCATAATGTGTCGAGGCTACATTTTGCACCAAGTGTTGGATTAACTCCTCAACTTGTCTTCTCAAGTCCTCAATTTCGATGTCTCGGAGGTCTTGTTCTCATTGGATGGGCTCGTCCCCGATACTTGGTTGTTGATCAGGTCCACTAGCCATGACGCCTTATTGATGAACACCACGATCCCACAAGAAACGAGCTCTAATACCTACAAGAAACGAGCTCTAATACCAACTTGATGTAGGGAAATTTGAAGGAAGCAATAAAATCAACAAGGAACAAGCCAAACACCAGTCCATACCCAAGCCAAGGTTCTCAAAAGGCTAAGCTTTTTTTTCTCTTTCAATTTCTCAAGTTCATGTGGAAAGACCCTCTTAAGGCCCCACACACCGTTTATATATTATAGTTCAATATTCAAAGATATCAATGTCTATATAATAATTAAAACGATCCAAAAAATCCTAATTTAAATATAAAATTTGTAATGACAAATTTACCCCTGTGAACAATAACCCATGAACAATACTCATGAATAGTACCTATGAATGATAGCCAGTGAATAGTAAATAAAAAGAAAAACCCTAGAATCCCTAAAAACTTAAAAGCCCTTAAAATAAATACTAAAACTAAAATTAAAATTAAGTTATACATTTTTTGAAATTGAATAAAAAAATAAAAAAAATTTGTCCTGCATCATAATATTTGAATGGAGCATCCCATAAACAAATTCAGTTTTTGACCCCCTTGACCCCTTTGCATAAATTCTACTCCTCACACTTTGCTGCACCTCATGGAAATGAGATATAGTGACTGGTACAAAATGAGGCTTATAACATCATGAAGTGTATTTTCACATCTTTCATAAATCCAAATTAAGAAACCGATTCTTGCCTCTTAGAAATGACATTTATATGCATACTTGACCCATGGTATTTGAATTTGTGCTTTCCATAAATCCAATTTTGGCAGTTAGTATTTATTTGTGTTTATCTTAAACTTAAAAGTCGTTAGCATTTTTTTGTATTCTATTTTCTGCTGACACATCTTTCAAATAAATAAACTCGACCTTTGTTTGAAAGTTACAGCATCTGAATGCATTTGTTTTCTGAAATGGGTTTTCTACTGTTGCTATTTTAGTATCATTCAAATTATCGTCACTGCACCACAAATTGTCAAATGCCACTCATTATTAAGAAGTTTGTGGATGCGTGTAGTGCAGCTAATGAATTCTGGTATCTTGTGGATATCTCGATGGGTATATGCATTGTACATATTCGATACCATAAGAAGTACTTCGTAATAACTAGAAACCATGTACTACTTGCTTTTGATACTCTTAAGTAGTCATTTTCCAAATGCTGTGAGTGGCCCTGGCAGATGTTTGAGGAGCTCAATTAACTAGTTTACTTTTTGTGACAGCTATGCTATTGGTGGTCTTGCAGGAGGTGAAGATAAAGATTCATTTTGGCGTGTTGTAGCCCAATGCACAGCTGCATTGCCTGAGGATAAACCACGATATGTTATGGTGCCAATATATTTGTTTTTTATTTTGATCATTTAGTTTTAAGTGTATATTATTCTATAGGTTGTGCTTACTGCCTGGAGCTTAGAAAGTAATATATAAGGTTTTAAACAGGGCATAATTGATGTTTTCACTTATCATTTTGCAGGGTGTTGGTTATCCGCTTGATATAGTAGTTTGCAGTGCTTTAGGTGCGGATATGTATGATTGTGTTTATCCAACACGTACTGCTCGTTTTGGTACAGCTCTTGTACCTGAGGTTAGTTCCCAGGATTTGCTGAATCCGTTACGTGCGTTATGTTTGATCATCTCTTTTGAAAATTGCATACCTGCAATACTTACTTCTGTTTGTTGCTCTTCTTTGAGAATTTTATTTATTTCTTTGTTGACAATCAAAGAAATAACAAACAAAAAAAAAAAAAAGAAGGAAAAAAAGAGCAAACTTGGTTGTTTCTCCTTCAGCAAATACTCAATATTGTATGAAGCCATGCTGGTCTTCGGATTATGTAACTATATATCATGCACATCCATGTGCTAGCCCAAAGCTCCTGACCTTTGGAAGGGCATGCATGTCTTGCATTGATATGTGTGTTCAACGTAGATTATTAGTTATTCGATATGGCATGTTTGCTTTGTCAATTTTTTGGTGAGTACATCCATGCTTTGTTAGTATTAATTTGACTAGTAGCGGTCCACTTTTGAGTGCCTAGTTATTGTAAATGATTCATTAATACTGTCTAGAAAGCCTGGCTGTAACCAGGCCGGAGCCTGAGGTAAATAAGTCTTTTTTTTAATTGATATGACTTCAGCGAATGGTTGCAATTTTATACAATGTGTTCAATTTTTTGTTTCTATCTATACCCCTCGTTCTGACTTATGGGAATGAGAGAGTATGAGGGAAATTCATCATTCCACAGTATATCACTGTAATTTTTCAAGCTGAGTTATTTTATACATGGACTTATAAAAGGACTTGGATCTCTTGGAAACTGGCAACTCAAGCCTAGGTATGTTTCTGTCGACATAGTAAAAATATAGTATAAAGCTTGTTGTCTGGAATCACTGCATAGCTGAAGACACATGAACTATGGACCACATTTACAGTTTCATGAGAACATTAACTACACCATTTAATTAAAATTAAGGGAACTGTGTGTGCCTATATGGAAAAAAGAAAAACTGTCTGCGCTCTTAATTTGGTGTCCGACTCTATAATTAGTCATGGCTCTGCTTATGAAGTACCAATTGTAGGACAAAATCACTTTGAACTGAGAAGATAGTGGTCTTTCCACTGGAAAATCACAGTCCATTAATCGGAAATCAATGAGTTGATAAATAGTACCAGAACAGGAAATGGCCACAAGAGTGGGTCCCACTTTCTCCATCGTTGACCATCATTTCATCAGATGGTCATATCTTCAATAGAATATATGTTTGTCATCGTCTCATGGACCATGGTTTACTTTCCCTTCAGTTTACAGTTCATTTGATGTTCTGCGGCTGGCATTTCACTGAAAGGTCAGTTTCCTGCTTCAATTTAAGCAATGGGTCTAGTGCTAGTTTGTCGAATAGTTGAGAACTTGTATTTAACATCCATAATGTATCGCAAGTTAATAGTGGTTTTTCTCTGCCTATTACCTGATTGACTTTGGCCAGTTAGCATGTGCTATACTACTATTAGCTTGTCACAACATTTGTCCTTTGCCTTCTAACAGGGTCTATTGAAGCTGAAGCACTCCGTAATGGCAGATGACACTCGCCCTATTGATCCCACGTGCTATTGTATGGTAAGTCTCTATAATGAATGCATAGCTTTATCTTTAGAGTTAATATCTCATATGATTTTCATTTATTTTCTATGATTTGTTATGCTGTTGGTCTCAAAGCTATGCTTTGCTGTATTTTTCTGTATTCTTTGTATTTTGAAGGTTTGCAAGAACTATACACGAGCTTACATACACAGCCTTGTTACAAAAGATGCTATGGGTTCTCAACTTTTATCATATCACAATTTGTCCTATATGATGAGAGTAAGTTGATCATTTATTTTGGTGAAACAGTTACTTCTGTGACATCTTAATAACGATGGAATCTACTCTGTCATTGCAGCTTAGTCGTGACTTGCATACATCAATCATTCAAGAGCAATTTCCAGAGTATGTTAATGCTTTTTCCCATTTTTAGATGCTTCTGATTGCCCTTGAAAGATATTTCTACAGTGGTTAAGGCTGATCTTTCTCCTCTTTTATTTCGCATTTCTTGCACAGGTTTGTCTGTCGGTTCCTAAGTTCACAGGTATTTCTTGGACTGAAAACTAAAATAATCTCCCTATCGTCATCATTTCTTTCTTGTATTTCTCATGTATAGATACAAATGCAATCTTCCATGTTTTAGTGAGGAATCCATTTCATCAATTTAACTTTGTGGGTCATTCAACGTAGTATATTTGCTGAAAGATAAAAAAAGTATGCTTTTCACGTGGGTGATTTTGTTAGGGATCTTTTTGTTTGTTTGTGCCATGCAATGTTCTCAAGACGACATTTTCTATTTAACTTATCGTAATGTACATCTAAGTCTGAGAGATTATTCATGAATGCAAATATACAAGACTAATTTCTTCTGATCATGTAAAATTTCGCATGTGTGACCATATAGCTCACTTGTGCAGCGTCATATTTGTTGTGCAGACACAGGTTTTTCTAGGGGGTGTCTCTTTGGGACAATAATTTTGATCGTGGTCTTAGACGAATACTAGGCTTTGTAAAGGTTAAAACCAGTGTTTAAAAAAACGCCGAGTCGCCCGGTTCGACTCGGGAATCGGCATGAACGGATCGAATCGACAAAAAAAACGAGAATCGTCCGGTTCGAGAGAGAACCGGACGATTCTGTACAGTGACTCGTCGATTCTCTGTACGGAATCGGCGAGTCCCGTACGGAATTATTATTATTATTATTATTATTTTTTTTTTTTTTTTTTTTTTTTTTTTTTTTATTTTTTATTTTTTTTTTGTTAATCCATGATAGTATTTTTTTGTTAATACTTGTATTGGTTTTTTTATTTAATCCATGATCGTAAT